GTGACAGATCAAAGCCAAGCTGACTGCAAATTTCAGAGGACCCACTGAGCCTTCAAGTTCAGGCCAAAACAGGACAAGCCTCATGGAATGAAGCAGTAAAAACACACGGCCCCAGCACTTTTTGGCTGGCACCTCTCTCATGCACACGGAGATGGAACCAGAAGTAAGAACAGCAGCAGCTTATTGGCTCAGCTAAGAAACTGGAAATCTAGTTTAAAAGGAAATCACATAACCACTCATGTGTCCAAAAGATCTGTAAATCAATACATGTAAAACTCTGTGAAAGTCATTCCGTCTCTGACTTAAGGAATCTGAGCTTCCGCAGGGACGGTGGATAATATTACCCCGATAGAGAAGCTATTCTATTACAATACTCACAATGTGAAATTCAAATCTTCTAAGGTACAGATACGCTTTTCAGACTTTCAGTGCTAGGGAAATAATAGAAATTTCACCAGGTCTCTCTTTGACCAATTACATTTACTTTATATCTATCATTTAAGAAGTACTTTCTCCTGTAGATCTACAGGTCCTATTTTATCAACTGTTCCTTTTTCTGTTTTTCAGCCATACCACAAGGCATGTGGGATCTTAGTTCCCCCACCAGGGATCGAACTCATGTCCCCTGTAGGGGAAGTGTGCTGTCTTAACCCCTAGACCACCAGCAAAGACCCTGTCCTATTTTACATGTATTTCACCCACATATTAAAATGGATAGTAAGTAAAAGTATTCCTAATCAATAGATCAAAACACCAAAGTATTGGAGAATTTGCCCCAGCACACAGGAAGAACACACAGCAGTATATCCTGGCTTGCCTAGTGCTTTCACGGTTAGAGGGGCAACTGGCCTCAAGGGCCTTCATGAAATTAACACTTCTACTGCAGGCCAGTGACGCCAACTTGGCCATGGTCACATCCTTTTTTTTCTAAATGTGGTCTAAAGGAGAAGTGACTGATAACCACTGAGCTCCTTCCCTAAGCATACACACAGATAAGAATATGCAAATATGCTCTGGGCTCAAAGACAAATGTGATATAATTCGTGAGTGATCCAGCAGAGCACATGTTGTCCCCTCATAGTCCCCACAGAAAGAATTCTGCACGCTTATGAAATTTAATCATCTTTCTGTCTCTCCTACTTACACAACTCAAAAAGAGGAAAGAATGTGAGGGGAAACGTCACCATACAAACAGCATAGAGAAGGGATCAATGAGACACTAAAACTCTTCCTGTGACATCAAGCAACTTGCCACCTGGTGCCGACGATGATGCCACACCACTGTCCACACTCTGGACCACAGACGAGGCAGCACTCCTAAGTGTGGAGCGGTGCCGACTTCAAAAGCTGCGAATTTCACAAAGGAACTATTGTAACAGACCTACCCACTGGTGGTTGCTGTTTAGCCACTAGGTCGTGCCCAGCTTTTTACGACTCCATGGACTGTAGCCTGCCATGCTCCTCTGTTCAAGGGATTTCCCAGCAAGAATACTGGGTTGCCATTTCCTTCTCCAGGGGATCTTCCCGATGCAAGGATCGAACCCAAGTCTCCTGCACTGGCAGGCGGATTCGTTGCCGCTGAGCCATCAGGCAAGTCCAGAATCTTAACATATTTCACAATGATTACCTCTGGGGAGTAAGAACAGACACAGGGGCTTTCCTTTACAATCTTCATCTTTCTGTACTGCTTGAATTTCTAATTACGGACATGTATTAATCTTTTTATTTTAAGCCACAGAGAAGTCATATACAGCATAAGAAATATCATCAATGCTACTATAATAAGTTTGTATGGGGACAGATGGTTAGTGATGTACCATGATCATTTTGTAATGTATGCAAATGTCAAATCACTTTGCAGTACATCTGAAATTAACATAACATTGCCCATCAACTATATTTCAGTGAAAAATTTGAAATTCCAGGTGCGAAGAATAAAAATCTACTGATTTTATTTTGGAAAAAACATCTTTTTATTTTAAAAAATACTGATAAAAAATGGTAATGAATAGAACAGTTTAGTTATTTTTAAAGCCAACTACAGGTATGCTCTTCATTCATAAAAAAAGTACTGTGGATTCTGAAAGAATTTAGTACCTGTTAAGTCACAGCAGAGTACATACTTAAGAAACAACTTTATTTAAACATCTAATAAAGGGAAAGCTGTTTTTTTCCTTCCCCAAAAATACATTATATTTCTATAGGGATCAAGAAAAGGAGCATGATATTCCCTGCGCTCAGCTTTTCAACTCTCTTCTCCACACCAGGCAGAGGATGACGTTTTCACTAGACTGAATCCCACGACGTTTCATACATACCTAACCTTGGGTCATACAATCACACTGACATTTCTCAAGTGCACATAAATCACATGTTTATGTCTCATCTGAGCTTCACGAGATGACAGTGTTAGTTCAAGGTGAAATTCAGCATGCCGGATACAGAGTACAGACTGCCAATATACTCTAAACGACGTGAACAAGTATACCAAGGAGACCTCAAACTAACTGGACGGCTCTAATAATGGGAAGGGCCAAGAGCAGGCCATTTTCTCCCCACAGGGTGTTATTTTTCACCCTGCAGATAAGACAACACACTCCAAAGAGCACAAGTGTTCCACAAGGAGCTGGGAGGCACAAGGGTGATGGGTGGAAAACCAAGTCAGAGCAGGAGAGCTGACAGTCCCAAGGATTGGTTAGTAGACATGACCTGACTGCATGCTCCCTGCAGGTGACAGCAATAAGCCAGCCTGAGGCTCTCACACCACATCAACATAATTCCTGATTTCATCAGGATGTCTGGCTGTTTCTTGGGCGAAAAATTTATTCTGTGGACCTCTTGGTGACCAATAGGGACAGACTGGAAATCAACAGCCATCGGTGATTTTATTTATCCTCCTTGCTGGCACAGCAGCCTCTTGTCAGTAAGCTTATGCCTTTTCGGTCTAACAAGCTAGAGAAGGCAGCTGTCCAAATGTCATCAAACCTAGTGAGAGATGTGAAGGAAGGACAGGCAAGCCTGCATTACTCACACTGGACCCAGGGAGGAAGGGACTTAGTGCTCATATATTTGAAAGAAGCAGATGAGGCTATTTCAGCTATAGATGGGCCTGAACAGAAAGAGAAAGGCTGGCCTGCTTAGGACCAGGAAGGGTAAGCCACCACATACTAAACTCCTAGCTGAGTCTGGTGTGTGTTAGGGTGTTGGCCAAACCAAAGCGAACTGGTGTGGCTCGCGACTGCCCTGAAGAAAGGATAGAGAAAAAAGAAAGTAAAATCAGTGAAGCGAACGCTGAAACACAGGGACGCCAAGAGCAGAGGGGGACTGATGGAACACAATCCAGCATTATCTAAAAACATTCCAGATGTCTATCCTTCCAACTGCAACTCCACCCCTACACACAAAGACGATCCTAAAGAAACTTTTGCGAGAAGTGCCAAGCGTCCTGGACAAAAATATTTATAGCATTACTGCTCGTGTTAACAAACAGGAAACAACCCAAATGTTCATCAAAAGGTGATTTATGATATATTCATACTGTGAAATACTTACCCTTTAGGGAAAATATTTCGAGTTACCATACAGCATTGACGATTCTCACAAACTTAATGTTGAGTTCACACACACACACACAAACAAAAAACACATACATTATGATCGCATTTATATAAACTTCCCAAAACATTCACAACGAAAAAACATTGTCCAGAGATGCACATATGTAGTAAAACTAATTTTAAAAGACCAGGAAATGAAGGACACACAATTCAGAATAATGTTTACCTTTGCAGGGGGAAGATGGGGACGTGGCTGGGAAGAGGCACCCAGGGCTCCAACACAACTCTAATGCTCTTTCTCAAGCTGAGTCAAGGACAGAGATGTGCTTCTTGTCATTTTTTTAATTTTAAAGTCCTCTTTAGGACATACATCACTTTGCATGCATGAAACAATTCAAAATAGAAGGGGGCTGGGGAAACATGAGAGTTGAAGATGTAACCAAACCATGCTCCCTAACCCCCACTTACATGTCCATCTGCCCAAGATGGGCTTCCAGAGTGAGGAGCAACTCACACTCCGAGACAACAGAATCAACTCGGTTTAGAGGTGATAGAAAAAAAAGACCACCTTCAGGCACTTCTCTGGGCTTCCTGGGTGAAACCAACTCCACAGTGTCTAGTCAAGGGGTAAGCTGTGAGACACTGCACACTGTCCCCGAAGAGTGTGGGAAGACTGCCTTGCCCATACAGAAACAGAAAACAGCCCCAATTCAGGTATATTTTACCAGTGGAAAGTCCCCAGACGGTTCCAACAGACAGGAATGGATTGCAGTTAGGAACAAGGCAATAATTTTATGCGGCCCTGCAGGGCTAGGAGAATATGTGACCGGTTACTGGCGGTGGGGAGGAGACGATGAAAAATACACTTGAAAACACAGGACTTTTCTAAGACCATAAAAGCCCGGACAGAATGTGTGTATTTGGAGTACAAATGGACGTGTGTTTTGAACACAAACTAGAAGCCCTAAAGGTTACCATACGGGCTTTACCTGGCAGAAGGTGACAACCGAGTTTGGCACATGGCAAGTATATTGGGAAATAATAATATCGAGAGAGATCTATATCACATCCATGTAACACAGGTACAGCCCACAGGCGCTAGCGAGGCAGGGAAAAAAGTCTGTGACTTTCACGGGGAAACGGACAGGAAGGCCGGATTCTGTCAGAAGGCCCAGGGCAGAGAATCCAGAAGGCCCCGCTCTGGGAGGGCAAAAGGGTGGTCCCGGCCCGAGACCGAAGGTGGGCACGCCAGGGGAGGGCGGGGTCCCCCCGGGAGGAGCCCCGGGAGGCCGGGCAGGGAGGCAGCGAGGCAGCCGAGGGGGAATCCAGGGCCGGGGCGCCCCCCTTGGCCGACGGGACGGGGAGGAATAGGAAGGCGGGGGCCTGTCACAGCCCCGGCTGGGCGGCCCCCGAGGGCCTGGTAGCCCCCCGCCCGCCGCTCACCTGGGCACGCAGCTGGACGAGCTCCGGTCCACCTCCCAGGTGGCGTACAGGTTCATCTGCACGGGGGCGGGGGTGCGGCCTGGCCCCGGGCCGCCAGGAGTCGCGGAGCCCGAGGCCACCGCGACGGCCATGGAGGTGGAGGTGGACGAGGACGAGGAGGAGGCGGCCGCCGCCGAGGTGGACGAGGACGACGAGGTGGCCTGGGCCAGCTTGGGGGGCGTCGGCTGCTGCGGCGGCGGCTGCTGCTGCGGCGGCGGCGGCTGCGGCGGGGATTGGGTGACCCCGGAGCCCCGCTGGCCGCTGCCGCCCCCGGCGCCTCCGGGACCACCGCCCGGCCCTCCGCGTTCCGCCATGGCCCGGCCGGGGGCGGGGAGGCGCGGGGGTTACGGGGATCGAGGCGACGGCCGAGCGGACCGCCCAGGCTTCTCCCGCGGCGGCGGCGGCGGGGGCTCGATTCCTCTGCTCAGCCCGCCCGCTCGAGCGCGCGAGCGCGAGCTGCACGCACGCGCGGGGCCTCGCGGCGCGCAGTCCGCGAGCTCGCCTGCCGCTGCCTGTTGCGGCTCGCGCCGCCGAGACACTGGGTGGGCGTGTCCGGGGAGGGGGCGGGGAGCCCCTGCCCGCGCCCGCCCCACCCAGCGCTCGGGGGCGGGGCCGCGCTCAGGCGCGCTCCCTAGGCAAGCCTTTGGGCGCCCGCGCCCCTCGCTCCTCGGGGAAGGTGGTCGGCGGCTTGGCGCCCTCCGCCGGGTCCTCTCCTGAAATTCGCGGCCCGGCGGCAGCCCGCTAAACCTCGCCGCCCATTTCTCTCCCCTCTCGTTCTTTTCCGCGGTGGCAGCAGAGCCAAGCGGAAACCCCGCTTTTCCGGGGCGCGGTCCCGGCCCGGAGAGGGATGCCGCGGGGGCGCGCTTCGGCCCCCTCGTGTCTGTAGACTGAGGCCCGACCCGCCGCCCGCTCAAACCCGCTTTCCGACCGCCGACTTGGCGCCCGCGCTGCGGCTCCGGGGGGCTTCTTCGCCACGACCAGCAAAAGGCGCTATAGGGACCCAGCGGTCGACTGGGCGCCTCTGGGCCGGGCAGTTTCCGCCCCCTTCTCCCCAATGTGGGCAGGGTCTCAAGGACCTAGAGTCGAAAAGGCCTTTGGCACGGGTGAATTCTAAAGCTAAGCCCGTTATTTTCTGACTGCGATGTCCCCCTCCTATAGAACCATTAGAGTCCCAAGTCCCCATCTCTGCCCTCAACTTCTTACACTTGGAATGTTTTTCAGACTCATCACTTACTGTATTTCTACAATCCTGTTCCTTCCGAGGTCGTGCTCAACCGCCCTGTCCTCCCCGGAGTCGCCCACACTCCCCGCTCCAGGGAACGTCTGGAAGCTTCCCGCAGGTCGCTCCTCAGATGGTGCACGCCAGCATGAGCGGCACAGCACCACTGACTACCCCCCCCGCCCCCCACGCCCCGTGCCTGGCGGCTGCCTGTGGGAGCCGTGGGTCCACCCCAGCCCTGCCTGGCAGGAAGACTTCAGGGACACGGGGGCCTAGAACCTGGGAAAGCAGCCCCCAACCATGCCCCCACCCCCTAAACCTAGACATGGTTGATGAAGCCGCCCCGGGGCTCGTGTGGACCCAGGACAATCCAGAGGCTTAGAGCTGTGTTCTCTCCCAGGTGAGGACCTGGACTCGGCCACAACGTCTGTTAGAAGGCCTGACCTGGCCTACTTCCCAAGCCCACTGCACTTCCTCAGCCCAGCTGGGCACTAAGCTGGCTATTTTTAGTCCCCAAGGACACACTAGTAAGGTCAAAGCAGACCTGGAGGTCCTTCCTCCAGAGCCTTCCTACAAAAGCGGGCAGTGGTTTAAAAAAAAAAGTCTCAGAGTGGCTTTAGCTTCATCACCAGTCTCAACTGTAACATCTGCTCCAGGTGCCTGCCCCCAGATGCTGGACCACTTTAGGCCACAGAAAATGGCTGTTTTCATCCTTTTGCAGGAGGGAACTAAAAGAGGAAGGCTCAGGAGTGTTACATATTCATCTCTTTCCTTGGGAAACGGCTTTATTTACAAAACAGGTCTAAAATAAAAACATGAAAACGACAAGGCCTTGGGAATAGCAGGAGAGCTGGTTCTTCGGGCCCAAGTGTGAAGCAGCCCAGATGTCCAGGCAAAGGGCTTTAGAGAAGGCCAGGTGTAAGACGGGGACCTAAAATTTGAACTCCTTATATTTCTTGCTGCCGCCACGGCTGTCCTGGGGCTGAGCTTTCCGTTTCTTTTGCTGTAGGAGAGAAACAGGTCACAACAGGTTAAATAACCCGCTGATTCCCCAAAACAAGGGTGGGCAGGCTGATGCGGCCACATACATCTGTGGAAAAAGACTAGAAACTGGAATCCTCAGACGAGTTCCTTCCCCTCCTGTGTCTCAGCTTCATCGATCTTAAAGAGGGCAGCCCGCCAGAGGATTCCTAAGGTTCCCAGCACCCAGGAAGCTCAGGGCAGCAGGCACTGCGTCCTCCCTTCCTCTCGCCACTAGAGGACAACACCCCTCCGAGAAAGGCAGCCCCAATCCCTGGCTCTCACACAGCCGGGCCCCCGTGTGAGCTCCTACCTTCTGCTTAGCAGCATGCTCGGCCACCATGTCACTGAAGTCTTCTTTCTCCACTTGTGCCTGCTGCTCCCGCACATGCTCCTCATACTTCTGGGTCATGGCCATGGGATCCAGCTCCAACTCTTCGGGTGCCAGGGCCACTTCCACACCCTGCAGCTCAGGGGCCGGGCCCTTCCGACTCATAACCTGGAAAAGAAATCAGAGCCCTGTCTTCTCCAAAGCGAGGCTCAGAAGCTGGAGCTCCTGCCCGCCTTCCCAGCCCCCTGAACCAGTGTCCTCCAAGTGCTCACCGTGGACATGTCATAGATGTGGGTTGAGCCCATCATGGCGCCCCCTACAGTGGCTGTTCTCTTCTCTGGCAACACAGTGAACAGCTGAGGCGTCTCACTTCTGTGAAGGACAAGGAGGCAAACAAGGGGGTCAAGCCCCAAAAAGAAAGGATGAAAGGGTGTCCAGAAGGGACAACGAAAGGAACAAGGGCAGCGCCCCCACTGAGCTCCGCTGACCTCCCCCAAGATTCCAAGACACCCGGGGAAAAATAATGTCCGAGCTGCCTCTACAGGTCATGGAGACCCATAAGATGAAAAAGTGTCACCTATTTCAAGAATTCTACTCGAAAACCAAGAGTAAATATACCAGTATCAATGCAGACCATGACTTCCTCCCCACTCCTTCCCCAGAAGAGATGAAAATCCACCCTCACTAAGCAGCCAGACGTAAAAACAGATTTCAGATCCTGTCACTTCTCTGTCCAAAATCCTCTGCGGCTTCTAATCATTATTTGAATAAACCCAAACTCGTCCCTGTGACCTAAAAGGTTAATAATCTGGCCCCTTATTTAATCCCTGCTCATTAGGTTCTAGTCCTAGTATCCTTTCTTTTTCTTCCTTGAGTATGCAAAACTTGAGACTTCTGATTCTGGACAAAGAATAACAGGGACCAGATTTACCCTCCCACCTGAAACAATCAAACACTGGACAAAATACATGAAACAGTGGTTTTCAGGTCACTGGACATGAGCAACAAAGGACAGTGATTCCTGAGAGACAGGAAACAAGTGAGGTGATTCCTACTGCACTGAGAGTCTCCAGGCTACAGAACAAGGAGGGGGAGCTCCTTGTAGAGCCCGGAGGACTCCAGGAGTTGGAAGGGGTGAAGCTGGAAGTGCAGGGAAACCAAGGCGACTAAAGATCACAGGACAGAGAATCTAAAAAGAAAAAGCAGAGACTCAAGAACTCAAGAGACCTACAGAGAACCCCCTGCAGTCCTCAGTTCTCGGGTGAGGACTGTGTGGGAGGAAAGTACCAAGGCCAGAGGAAGGACCACCCAAAGGCACTAGCAGTTACATACAAGCCTGCTCTTCCCTGCGGTCTGGGAATAGTGCCTGATCAACAGGACACAGGGTAGAGTGAAGGGTCTCGGGCCTCAGCAGTGGAGAGGACTGAACACTGCTTCAGTCCTGCCTAATGAACCTGAAGAGCAGGACCTGAAAGAATCGAACGGTTTCCAAGCACCTTAACTGTAATAACCCTGCACAAAGCTAAGATTTATAAGAACCTTAACCTGACAAGGTACGTTTCACAACATCAATAAAAAATTACCAGAAATACAGAGGCGTGAAAATACAATTCTTACCAAGGAAAACAATCAGTTCATTTAAACCAACCCAGAACTGGCCCAGATGTTAGCAACAGCAAGCCAGTACCTTAAAATGTTATTATAACAGGGCACATCCCTGGTGGTTCAGTGGCTAAGACTCCACCTTCCCAAGGCAGGAGGCCCAGTTCCATCCCTGGTCAAGGAACTAGCTCCCACATGCCCACATCTAAGAATCTGCATACCACAACTAAAGATCCACATGCCCCAGTGAAAATCTCATGTGTCACAACTAAGAGCTGGTGCAGCTAAATACATAAATATTTTTCACATATTAGTATAACTGGATTCCATATGTTCAAAAATCAAATAAAAGACACAGGTGATATAAAAAGACCCAAATCACACTGCTAGAGATGAAAACTACACTGGACGGGATTAATGTCAGATTAGAAATAGACAAAAATACTAGCCAACTTGAAGACACAAATAGAAAAATTTCTAAAATGAAATACAAAAAGAAACGAGAAAATTTTTAAATAAACAGAGTCATCAGTGAGCAGCAGGACAACTTCAAGAAATCTAACAGACGTGTAATTGGAGTTCCCAAAGGAGAGGAGAAAGAGAAACAGGAAAAAATAATTAGAGAAATAACGGCCAGAATTTTTCCAAAATTAATAAAAACTATAAAAGCACAGATTCAAGATGTGTAACAAACCCCAAGTAAAGAAATCCAAAGATGGGAATTCCCTGGCGGTCTAGTGGTTAGGACTCTGCTTTCTGGGGCCCAGGGCCCAGGTTCAATGCCTGGTTAGGGATCTAATTCCACAAGCCTCAAGGTAAGGCCAAAAAAAGAAAATGGAAAAGAAAATAAAAAACTATCAAACCATTAAAAGGAAGAAACAAACCCAAAGAAAACTAACATACTTCACTATACTGCACATCATAAACTTCAAAACAGCGATAAAAAGAAAATCTTGAAAGCAGCCAGAAGAAAATGACATAAACGCACAGAGGAACAATGGAAGGATGACAACAGATTTCCTGGCAGAAACAATACAGGAAAGAAGACACTGGGAGCAACATCTTTAAAGGAATGAAAGAAGAAATATTGCCAACCTAGAACCCTGCAGCTTGCAGAAGGAAGGCTACTGCATGGTCATTAT